TAATTATGTTAGTTTCCTCTTTTTCCAGCCTCCATGAGGCAGGATTTGCCCTCTGATGACATCTTTGCTCAGTAAACACACAACCTGGAGACGCCTCGAGAGCCTTCTGAGGATTTTTAGGTGCGATAATGTCTAAAAAGTGGAAAATTCAGCAGCAAAAACTACATCTGAGCGTCACAAACATCGAGGTGCTGATTTATGGGTGCGATCGTGCTGAATCTTGACCCTTTAAAGCCTGATCCAAGAATAAAATAAAGCAGAAAATTACTTTTTTTTTTGTTTGAACTCCTTATTTGGCCTTTTAACAAAATATGTAAAAAGAAAAAACAGAGATACATTTTTAATATTAATCATTTATTACTATGCGATAAGTGAAGATTATTTTTTGTGTAGTCTTCTGCCCCCTGTTATCAAGTGTATCTGATTGTGTACAATGGGATTTTGAGCAAAGTTTTTATCATTAAATTATGCAAAAGGTGTCAGACGCAAAACATTTCAGAAACCATAGGAATCAAATGTGATACATTTGGCATTACAGGGTTAAAGATGCTTGCTGGACAAAAAAAACTTCTCAGACTAGAGGAGCCAATGTTCATCTTGTACATTAGTCATTTTATACATCTTCAGGTCAGTATTTAAATGGATTTAAATCTCTTACGAACACCCTAAGAAACACCTTTTAGGTCATTTGTTCATTCAGATAATCAGTATTTCTAGTTTCCTTGAAAGAACCAATGACTTTGTGGCTCAGGGAACTGGATTCCAAAAGGAAAAGCTTGAGAATGGAAGCAGCAAACTGTGTTTATCAGGGACAAAACCTCTCTTTTTAATCCAGAAACTGAATTAACAGACCTAAAATGTACTTAAAGAGAAACATTACGCGCCCTAAAATGGATTTATTTTCTCTCTCTGGCTTTTCGAGACTAAATTAAACAGCTTTTATCACCGGAAAAGGCGAGCAAGGCCTCCAAAGGTTTAAATACAGTGTTTTATAGACGTAGCAGCAGTGTGCTACACCTTCCAAATGTGTCAATGCGAAGAATCTGGGTGTTTTAGATGAATTATTAAAAGATTGAGCTAAAATTCAAACATCGGGGGGGTCATTTATGAGCTCTGGCTGCTCATATCTTCACAAAGGGACCCGGCGTGAGACCTTTTGTGCTCCGGTCACTTGTCACAAATCACCATACATGAGTCACAGTCCTGAGCCTCACAAAACCCGGCGGAGCTTTAGACTGCACACAATTATCCCCCGACGCAGTGTTTTAAGGTGACAAATGAGAAACGAGCGGTGTCAAAATTCAAGCCCCGGAAAGCAAAGTGAACTCGGGAAAAAGTCAAAGTCTCTGAAACCAGCAGGACCTCGTTCTGAATCAGTGCTGGGAGGAGCAAAACAAACTGGGGAAGATAAATGTGGCTCAGTGTGGTAATTACTGAGCAGGGATAATCGGATCCATTACCAAACGGCTGGAGAGCGAATGGGAGTGAGCGGGAATGTCAGGAATGGGAAGTAGGGGCGGGACTCGGATGCAGAGATCTTGGAAAAAGGTTTTAACGGAACCAAAACGCACTCAAATCATCTCCCGTCTGAAGGATTATGTAAAAAATAATGGTGGTAATGGTATAAGTAAGCTAATGCCAGAATCGGTGGAGTAAAAAAAAGCAGAAACCATACAGGAAATGCCGAGTTTTCCATTTCAAAATGTGGATTTTCAGTCTATTTATGCAACCGCTGCAAATATGTGACATTTTAATGTACTCATTCTAATTCCTTAACAATTGACAACTACAGAATGGAAGGGAACCCCAGGGCAACACAATCAGGGAAGACAATCAGACAGGTGACACACAGGGGAGTAAAAGAGATCTGAAACAAGGGGATGTACCTTTCAAAATAAAACAGGAAATGACAAGACAACCATGAAGACAGGACAAAAACACCAAAAAATCCCCCAGGCGTGACAGGGAAGGGGAATCATTCGAGCCGACAGCTCTGCTGAAGGACATAAATACTTCATCTGGATCCCGAAACGAGCTGAGAGACGGCCGATAGCTTCGATGGGGGCAGATTTTTTACGATCGTTGGAAAATGTTCTTATTGCCTCTGTGAAGTCATTTTCCCCCTGAGTCAGCAGAAAAGTCTGGATCTATCCAACTTTTTTAAGATGTTTAAAGAAAGTCCTTTAAAGACTTTGAACTTTATGAACGGGGCCTTTATTCAAAGTTTTATTCCTTTAAAATCTATAGATTTCAGACAGATTTTCGTGGATGTCACTTGCTGCCCAATCAGCTCAAGTGTGGCTTCTAGAAAAGCTGTAACAAGGAAGTGGCTAAAACTAGAAAGACCTAGAGTGGACGAATGGTTAGACACCATTTACAACATCTTTAAGATGGAAAGAATTACTTTTTTTTAAGATTGAAAAGGGATCTGTTTATGAAAAGATGGGAACCATGGATCAGATATGTCACTCCAATCTGTCCATCCTTTGTATAGTTCTGGTATCCATTTACCCATTCTTCCTTTTTCTTTTTATCTATGCATTTCATTTTCAACCCTTATGCATCAATAAACTATTTACTTAATTTCCCCATTGCATAATAGAAGTGCACCCCAGCATTTTTGGTTTTAACCAAAGGAGTTATGTTTGTTATTTTTGTATGTTATTGATCTCTTTTTTTTTGTTTGAGATAGAGGGGGAACCATTCATCCCTATCTGTATATCCTGTGGAATTAGCTAGATACGGCTATTGTCATGAACAGATAGTTAGAGATGACTGGTGTATTGTTTAATAATGAAAATAACAATAAAAACAGAATTGAAATTTTAAAAAAAGTGGATCCCAGTGAAACTGCACAGGATGTGGCATTCATCCAACCCTCAACTAGTAAGACAATCCAAGAAATCTTCAAAAATAAGTCCTCAGAGTCAAAACACCAGAGAGGAGAGAAGCCCTCATTTCCTGTGGCTTCAGCAAAGATGTCAGCCGTCAGTTTCCTGCAGCAGAGAGCAAATAAGGAGGCCAATTCTGCTGCTGCAGGGTCTCCTGAATGCCACAGAAAGATCTTATTTTGGGGGAAAATTCGAAAAAGTAAAGTTCCCCCTTTGAACCCATCCATCTCAGACTCTGTGGTCCGGTGAGTTTTGATGAGTGGGTTTTTCGTGTTGGTTTATTCAGCGTTTGCTCTCCAGATAGTGTTATTTCTCTCTATGCATGTTTGCTTTGCTGACAATCATTTCCATTTTCCCGTGGCACTAAAATGACAGCCGACGCTCGCTCTGTTTTTGGCTTTTTGTTGTGAACAGGATCAGTTGTGAGTGTCAGTTTGTGAGCATGTAAGTCAGTATTCAATGGCTGGATCAAGCTTTTTAGAGATAGTTAAATTATGTTTGTCAAATTATGTCTGGTTTCTAGCTTTAGCTGTTGCCCAAACTTGAAAAACGGCTGGTCATCACCAAAAAGGACGCCAGGCACAACTCTAATCCTTTCCAATTGTGTTTTATTCATTAAACTTGATGATCAGATTTTTCGAAGGATATAGGACTGGATTTAGGATTAGGTTGAAAACCTTCCAAAATTAAATTGACAAGTTGAATTAGTTCAAACAAACATTTTTAAATCAAACATTTTCACTGTGGTTCAAACATAAGGACAATATAAACCGAACATTACCAGGCCACAAACCGTACTACAATATCTTCCAACTCAACTTTTACCTTTTAATAAAAAAGGCCCACACAAGTTCACTCCTCTTTTTTCTGACCTTTTCCTCTTTTTTGACATTTCAGATCTATTTGCGATTTGTCTGTTCGGTAGGATGTATTTTTAGAGTCAGTTTCAGGCAACCAAATCCATACCAAACTGGTTTTTAATAAATTCTGAATCCTCTTTCTGAGACTTCAAGGCAGAAATGTGTTTATTTCATGACTCTAGCTTCAAAACAGCTTTAGACCTTTAAATAACAGCAAATATTCCAAACAGCTGAGTCATATATCACAGCTCATTAACAAACCAGAACCCAGTGACTAATCATCTGGGAGTCTGAAGTGGAATAATCAGGATAAATCAACAAGTGTGCGATATTTCCCTCCCCAATAAGCTCCGTGCCTCAGACCAGATGTTTGCACCAATAGCAGCACGGGAACAAACGGGCTGATGTCTGGAGACAAAACCGGCTGGAGCCTATCCCAGTAGCCAATGGGGAGAGGCGGGGTCACCCTGGACGGTCCCCAGTCCATCACAGGGATACACAGAGACACGCAAGGACCAACAACCACACACAATCACACTAAGGGCAGTTTGGAGTCCAACAACCTAACATGCAGGTTTT